CTCGAGGGGTCTGAGTTGCAAACCTGTACTTTCCTTCTGCTGGCAGGAGGCTGATACCTGACCGACTCACTTCTGCAATGGAAATGTGTTTGCAGGGCTGTGGCAAGGAATGGAGGCAACGTCCACTCCACTTTCTGCATCAAAAGGAATGGCCTTGCCCAGGTGGCTCTTTCACCCTCTGCATGGTGTCCAGAGGGAGATGTGTCACTGCATGGTTGATGTCTGCTGCTGCACAGCACAATGTCTTGGCATCCTGACTCTGTCTGATGTTTCAGAGAAGAGCTGAGAGCATCGTGTCAAATATAATTATGAGACAATAACAGCCTGTTAGTTCCAGTGCCTAATTTTAAACCTCAGACTGTCTAAAAATCCTCAGTCTGCTTTTAGAAGGGCTGTCAGCTCCCCAAGGTATAAATAAGAAGCATAGAGAATGGATAATCTCTGCCTGTCTTAAGGTCAAATGCCATCTTCCAGAAAAGGTAAAATTCCCATTTCACCATTTACTCATTGAGACTTTTCTTTCTTGTTAAATGTGTGCAGTTCCCTTTGGAATGAGCAGACTAACAAAAGGGATTTATCTGCTTTGCTTCTGATCCGTTGTAGTTCCTGGGAAGAGAAGCAACATCGTGGAGGTGGAGCATCCTCCCAGCATTGCAACGTACTCCTCAGTTATTCCCAATCCAACTTGTTCCTCTCTCCTTAGAATCACCTCATCTCACTGCTCGTTCCCCTCCATTTTCCTGCCCTCACGCCAACTCTGGTTATCTGCATTCAGACTCAGATCAGAACATTCGTACTGAGACATCCTGGGTAATTTGCAGGTCAAATTATCTGCAGAGGAAAAGCTATCATGTGGCCGTGAGCTGATACAAAGCTTTTATTGCTTGAAAATCTTTAATGTTATACATATGCAAATAGTACCTTTCAGTTTTAGGGCACTGTTTGGGTTACAGTTATAAATTGCTACACAAAGCATCCCCCGCTCCCCACTCTGTGATGTAGAGTTGATTATCTTCTGTATGAATGATGCATCAAAAGTACCTTGTATACTGAGTCAGGGTATCTTCCACTAATGAAGTCCCTAAAGAAATGCAGCATAGACCTGAGCTGCAATATTCTGATGGCTTGGATATATCAGAGATAGCTAAAATAGCATTAGATATAAGATCTTCCTAGCAAAATTTGCCAAAGAAGCACATAAACATCAAAGAGTCTTAACTCTTAAGTCCTACAAAATATTCTTCTATTTGGATTGATAAGAAAGTAGGGTAATGCCCTAGATGCATAGCTATGAGGATGAGTGTGGCTCTGGCACTGCTGTGGCAACTTCTTTTAAAAAATTATAAGCATTATAAAGATTCATAATGCTCAAAGTTTGTGTATTAAATTGGACTGAAAAGTGACTGCTTTTAACTCCCTCAATATATCCCTGGCTGCCTGGTGTAGTTAACTGTTGGTTCCATTTGCATGAGTGAAACAAGATAATTCTTTATCAGATCTTATCTGTTGCAAATAGACATTGTCACAGTCTATTCCACACGATAAAATCATAAACTCTTCATTTCCTATCGTGAAATAATTAGAATATTTCAGTTCTACACTCTGAGTCATAAACAATGATAAATAGTTAATTCAATTAGAAAACTGATTCTTTTTCTAATGAGACACTATATATTGTGATATCCACACTTAGTGCTAAAAAGAAAATATTTACTTGCCAGTAATTCTATTGAGCTCTCTTGAAAATACTGACTGCCTGATGGCTTGATACCTCAAGTGTTGCTGCTGGACGATGGGCTCCTGCTTTTCAGGAGGCTGAAGGTTACGTATGCAAGTTAAATCTGGGAACTGGGAATTGGGTATGCATGAAAAGATGTTTCAGTAGCAGCCTCCTCTTTCTGGGTACTTTGCAAAACAGTTCTGCATGTCAAAACTGATGAAAGCTTTGGATGTCTTCCATGTCATCTCATGGGGCAGCCACATGCTACCATGTGCCAAGAAGACCTCTGCCCCCAAGCCTTTCTCCCAAGAAGCAATGCGATCGCTGCCCAAGCATGGCTGCTCTGGGTATCTCCTCTCTCCCCAGATCTGCCATGCAGCAAGGAGGTATGGATATACCATTCAAGAAATGTGTAGATGAAGCACTGACAGACACGGCTTAGTGGGCATAGTGGTGACAGATCAGCAGTTGGACCTCAGTAGTCTTTCCAGCCTTAATGATTCTATGATTCTATGAAATGCCACAGGGACTGTTCTGCTGTCTCACTGCTGCAGAGTCCTCATCGCTGTGCTTTAGCACATGGATGGCACTTGAAAACGTAGTTATCAGAATAAGCCTTTTAGCTATAAATTGCACATATTAAAGATCCATGTGATAATTGTCTTATCTGGCTCCAAATGTGCTTATGATGCTGAGAGAGAGCAGATTGGATTACGCCTGAAATAGGCGTATTTTCATAAATCACACAGGAACGCAGCGAGGGCTCAGAAATGCAGATGCCTTGTTTTCAACTGACTGTGATTTTGCTGAAGGATCTCGTGGAAGGGAACAAGCAAACAAACAAACCGAGAAAGGTCTTTTTAAGAGGGAGGGATAGAGAGCTAAAAAACAAAAACAGGAACCAACCCTTCCAAAAAGCAGCAGTGCTACAACAGAGGAGTGAGGGGAATATTAAGTGACACTTACACACAGCTCCAACCCAGGACAAATGTTGGGATCTTTTCTCTGCCAAGCCCCACAGTGTCACACTGTCTACATTCAAGTTTTCTGTCTGGTTCTTTGGTAGGACAGTGGCACCTCCTTTCTTTGCCCTCTGCAATGGGGAAGCCTCTGTGTGCCCCAGGTACAGCATGACACTTTGATGGCAAATCTCTTGAACACTGATGTTCTCACACTGGTCTTTGGCTGCCTGGGACCAGCAGGAACTATTGCTTTCACTTCCATCCTCTGAAAGTCATTAGGAGCCAAAGTCTTGGTGGCACAGAACATACACTATTTTATATGCTTAATTCTAGCTGGTTAGAGGCAAATGGGAACAAAAGCATGAGAAGATCTGAATGGTGTTTTAATCCAGGGAAGCTCTTCCAAAATACAGCAAAGTACAACATAGCTGTAATAAACATGAAAGCTTTGTGGGCTCTGGTGTACATTAAATCTTGAGTGTTTGCTCAGTGCTGTCTGTCATATTCCCAACACAGATGATTTTTTCATTTCCACATCTTTCTTTCAGACTCAATCCTCTGTTTGGAGGAAGAAAAGCTAAAATATTTATTTTAGAGCAAGTTGTTGAATTTGTAAAATATGTTTTAAGATTTCTCTGCTCTTGTCAGCTCTTTGTAAAAACCACTTGGTAAGTTCTTTGGAGATCCTATGTGGATTTTCCTGCTATTGGGTTGCTCCCAGTGCTCATTGCTGAAAATTACTGCAGTCTACAGAAAAAGGTAACAAGGCTCCAGCAGCAGCCAATCTGGATCTGTAGATGGAAAAGCAGCTCTGGGGAACTGCAGGTGTGGTCCTGGAGGTGGACTTTACAAACCAGGATCCTTTTGCAGTGGTCTTGGGAAGATTAGAGCTATGGTTGCACTTTTCTGAGGAGCAAGTATTGCAGAAAAAACTCTTGCTTGTCCAGTATTGACAGGTATCCTGGAGAGCCTTATCAGGTCAGGCTGGTACCAAGCCACCAGCAGCTAGAAGGTGTGGGGCAAGGCATGAACGCACTGATGCCCCTTCTGCTCGCACTCCTGCTCGTGAGAAGGGAAGCCAAGCTAATGTGCAGCATTGAAATTTTACTGTCTTCAAGGCTGATCCTCCTAAAGCCAACTGCCTTCATTTTAGGGCAGTAAACTGCCGGCAGCGAAGAATAAAGAGACTGAACTTTCTTTACTAATCTAAATTTTCTTTATGGCTCTGCCAAAGAGCTGTTTTTTTTTTTTTCCATTTGGTTCTGTCTCTCTCATTACAGTATTAGGCAAAACCTCTTTTCCCACATCATTCAGGATTACCAGTGTCTTGGCATATGCCCTTCTTGTAACAGTGGTGTCTGCCCACATTTTGTAGAGAACTCTGGAGTGACCAGTGACTCCCAGTCCAACCCAGTCCAATCAAGTGGGAGAATAAGACCAAAGGAAAGGGGCCACAGAACTGCTAAAGGACACAAAACCAGCAGTAAGAGGGTACAGTGGTTAATCTTTGCATGTTTCCCTCATTCTTTCCTCCTAAGGCAACATCTTTATTGTGGTCTTTGCTCCTACACAAGCCCACACATCATTATAGTTGTTTACATACCATCACTAGCAATAATAATGATAGCTAACTAATAATTCTTCATTGAATGTGATGAACGGCTGCATCTCTCAGTAAAAATAAATACGTGGGGAAAGGGAAAATACATCATTGTTACTATAAAATGAGGCATAGTGTGAGAAATTAAAATATTTGGCTTATGGAAAAGCAAGAGAAAACAACTTTGTAAAAAGTTAAACCAATAGGGGTAAGGATCATTTATTGAATGTAAGAGAAATTAGCAAGAAAAAGGGATAATTAAGAAAGATATAAATGTTTGCTGAAGTTCTGTATAACTGAATACCAGCAGGCATAAAATTAGAGCTCAAATAAGAACACAGATTAGAGCTGCACACTTCAGCTGACACAAACAATTTATACAGTTTATAATTTTACTTTTTTATTCTGACATTTTAAAGGCTAAAACACATCCAGGCAAGGCAAACCCCACAAGTTCCCCCACACTTAAGTGCCTAGCTCAGTAATGGAGCGGATGAAGCTAAATTTCTCTTTCATGCAGCAAGACACCCTGTAGCAGCCATCCAACCCTTGCAGCACCCTATCTGCCCGCCAGGCTCCTCCATACAACACACAGTGCTTTTAGACAACGTGCTGAGCAGGCAAAGCCTGAAATTCAGGGATTAGTTTCTTGCTAAAGTTCAAGGGCAGCTCAGGGAAATACTCCCAGGTGAGATCTGATAGGGCAAAGCTGTGCCTGCTTAAACATGAGGCTTTAAAAGGAAAGAAGAGCGAGGGGAGTGGTGTGAAGAAGACATGAAGCTTAAGGTGGGTTATGGTTTGCAGGGCTGGATCTTATGTCTTTTAGCATTTTGATTTTGATTCTGTATTTCCAGGTATGTCATAGTCATGCAGTGACTAAAGTGGCACCTTTTTGCTTAGGCTGTGAGTCTGGGGCTCTTTAGTTCTCTCAGTGAAGTGGTGAGGGTGGGTTGATGGTTGGACTGGGGATCTTTGTGGTCTTTTGCAACCTTAAAGCCTCTATGACTCTAGAAATGTAGGAAGTTAAACACTCTCCTTCACTCTTGTTTTCAGCCCTCAAAGATTTAGGTTTTATTTGGTAATGTGTTGAAGTTTGGCTTGCTCTCTGAAGATAAAGTCATGAATCCAATTGTTTTGATAGAGCTTTCTGCACCAGCAAAGGGGGAAAGCAAATAGATTGGAAATATTCATTTAATAGCACTTTAAAGCAGTTTGTCCACAGACTGCTGCACATCCAGAACATGCAGCAGTGAGGGGGCATAATGTTTCAACCTCTCTTAAAAATGACTTACAAGCTCACGCTGAAGAACTCTCACACTTGTGCTCTTCAGTATAAATATGCCAATATTAAACTCATGTTGCTGTTATACTTCTAAGTGTTTTTCTATATAGAGGCAGCAGAATGATTCCACCAGCATCTGTCTTTGATTGCTGCAATTCAGTGCGATGTGAAGCAGAGCCCCAAGACTGGTCTCATTAAGGGCAGCCTGCTGCTTTGCTTCATGATTTTCTTCCTCTCCTGACATATTTACAGATGGCTCTTCAGTCCCTGGTCTCTGTCAACGTGTTCCAAACACAAAGGCTTCAGTGATGCTTCTTTCTTTCTGTCCTAAGTCCTTCTGCCACTACGATAGAAATGAGCTGCACTACTTTAGAATGAAAGACTAGGAATGGAACAGGCATGAAAGCAGGTGGTACCAATTAGGAGATTCTGCTCATCTTTGAGGTGTAGAGGGCTATCTGGCATTTGGTCAGCTGTTCCAAGCCCTGCTCATCCACAGAAAGGCTGGTGGCAAGGCAGAGCACCATGTTCTGTCCATTCACAGAAAACTGGGAATTGCAGAGGCTAATGAGGTGAGTTCCACATAAGCTTTCCAAGCTCACCTCTGCAAACCTGTGAAGCTTCTCCAGAGCTTGTATGATGAATTGCATTATCATTAACAGTTATCATGTATGTACATATATCCATACTGGAAAAAGGCTCAGGTTTGTGTTGTGGTCAAGTAAGGGAATCAACATCTGTATTTAATGAAGTGACGTGGTATTCTTACTGCTCTCTTTCTGGGATATTTTAGTATTAGTTTCCTTTTATATCAGAGGGTGAGAAGTCTCCAAGTATGCCCATAATTAATCATGAGGCCTGAGTATGTTATTTCAGTTTTGCAGAGATTCAGGCTGTCCGTGTTCATTAAAGTCTAGTTCACCCTTTTATTTCCTAATGATTAACGTCGCTACTGTCACAGAGGACTTTACCCCCACAGTGGTGGAAAGGCTGGGAGCTGGCTACCATTGTAATTCTGCTCTCGTGGCATCCTCTATCATCATATGCTGATTTCTGGCCAAAGCACTTTTGTTAGGACAATACAGGAAAAGTTGGCCATTGTGGTTTCCTAAAGGCAAAGGCATCACAGCAGAAAAATGAAGCCTTTTTAATATTACAGTGAGAGGAAATATGAGATACAAGGGGGTCAAGATGTGCAATGAAAACAATGCAAAAAGTTCAGGAATTTTTTTTTTTTTTTTTTTGAGTAGAACAAAATGCAGTCTTTCTCTTTCAGAGACTAGAAAGGATTCATGTTATGGGCAAATGTGCCACAAACGTTATAAAAGCCAATGGCGGACACTTCCAGGTGGGTAAGCAGCATGTTGGCTCCAGTCTCTCCCATACTGAGATATCAGCTGTCCCACTTAGCATGGGATTTCCTGCAGTACATTCACAAATCCCATGCCCCTCATTAGGTGGCATAACCTGTACTCCAGCAAGAGTGATGTACGCAAACTGATCCAGCCTGCTACGTACAGTTGACAAAGGGCATTGTTACTCTATAGGCCTTATTGGTCATAGAGTGTGTAGGACTTCCCGTTGTGATTTCTGCCCCTTTGAAGCTTCTGTGCTCCTGTTTGTGGTCTCTCCCCCTCCTTCCTGGCTTTCACAGCCCTCTTGTCACTGGTCAGTGGAGGTAAAGGTCCAGTGGTAGTTGTCAGAGCTGGCCGAGGCACGTGTTGTGCTCACCAATGGTCTAAATGACATAGCACATGCTTTAAATCAGGCAACCCTATTCTGGCTGAAGTCAGAAAACATAAATACAGGAACCCATTTTTTTTCTACTGCATCTTCCTTTGCTCATTGGGTCTGCAAAATGTTGTCATTTTGCTCCTTTTCTCTCCAGTTCTACAAGGCAGAACTTTCAGTGAAGTTGATGAGGATGTGGAGATTTAGCTTTAAGGAATAAGAAGGTTAGACCATCTTAATTTTCTCCAAGGGCTCAATAACCTCAAATTGAAGTGTGGCTTATTAGCAAAGGTCACGGAAGAGAGAAAACCTAGGAGAAAAAAGGGTTTGCAATTAGGAGCAAGTAACTGGAATAATACTTCAATTTCCATGGATGATGAGATGAATCTGTCCTGGCAGAGCTAGCGTGAAGAGAGGATGCGTTGTAGCATGAGTTAGTGAAATGTTTCTGTTATCCACAAGGAGAGAAAAAGCTATTTGTATAGCAGCATGTAAGGCAGTGCTTCCATGCTTGATGTGTTTTCTGAAAGTGGCTGGGTATGGCTGTGTTGAGATCCTGATGGGGGACCCACATCAGGTTTAGACCTCAATGATGTCAATAAATAAACAAGCTCAGAACTGCTCAAAGCAGAGGGTCTTGCAGTAATTTAAGATGGAGCGAAAATGTATGGAAACTCTTGTAAAACAACTGCACCATGATTGAGAGTGGTGATTCAACAGGAGAAATGCAGCATGTGTCTCTTGGTTGGGATGCTATTGAAATGGCACAAAGGAAAACAGTCCGGAATTCACAGAACAAAGGTCTTCAGCTTCAGAGCTCATCTTGAAGACTGGTGAGCACCTCTGGGATGTTCCCACTGTCCTCTGTGCTTAGCAGTATCAGGACAGTCACTTTGGAGTTTCTCCTTGTTCCAAGAGGACAGCAAACGTTCAAATTCAAAGCAAAATGAGATTGGCTATTTTTGAATTTAACATCTGAACTATGAGCCCTTTCTGCTCACAGAGTCCAAACTGTGCTTGCTTTTATCGCTTCTGAGAGCCCATTTGTACTCCTGTAAGGTGTAGCATCCCAGACTTTTAGGTTGAAAGATTATCTCTGGGAACAGTTTACTCTTTGCCAGTGGATCCTAAGGTATAGGATCAGCCATGAGGCATTGCACTAAACAGGGCACGTCTCCCACTGACCTGTTGGTGGAACACTAGTAGATTTGCCAAGGAGCTTGGAAATCAGTGGAGACAGAAGGAAAGGCAGTGCAGGGCCTCTGGCTGAACCATTCATTTTGATGTAAAGAGTATGCAGTGACAGTAGTTAGGGAGACAGCCTGGGATTTAGGAAAGCTGTGCTCAATTCCCTGCCTCGCTAAGTGTGACGCTGCACCTCTGTGCCACAGCTCCAAATCTATGTAATGGGACAACTGTATTTTCCTCTTTCATGGGGCTCTTGGGAAAATAAAAGCCTTTAAAACTATGAAGTGTTCTGTTAACCCGACAATGAGATCGTAGAAGAGCATTACACAGATATGGCAGAATCCAATGAAGACGGTTTTGAAATAATATTAGCATCTATTATCTTGAGTTCAGTTCTCTAAGAAGAGACCGTTCTGTATCTGTGTTTCAGGCTATTAATCATATTGCTGATCCATTGATCATTCAGGACATTCCCTGGCCCTGAAAACCTAGAAGAGCTTTGACATGAAGTGTTTATCAGAATAAACATTTCCTCTATTGGACAGGAAGCTGGGATCTGACATTTTCATACGTATCTCTTATTTTCTTATAAACTAGCAGGAGTCAATAAGATGCAGTGATGGTTTTTCCAGGGTGTCCTGTAACTCAGAGGAGTAGCTCGCAGATTTTAACTTTGCTCAGCTTTCTAGATATCTTGCCTGGGCTCTAGAGATAGGCCAGTTCAATGATTAAGGAGTTCTGTTAGTATCAGCACTGTTCAGAGTTCAGGCTGCTTTATCTCTGTCTTGCTCCTAGTCCCAGCTGAAATCAAGAGGTAGAAAGGCAAATTGAGTGAGAGTGATTATTATTAATTACAAGACAAAGTTAAAAAGTTATCCAAACTTTTTTGGTGTCTCAAAAAACAAACAAACAAAAAAAAACCAACAGGTATGTGGAGTCTTAAGATTGTCATACAAGTTGGTGTCCTTTTTTTTTTTTTTTTTTAATCTGAGTCCATTCAAGCATACCACATGTTTGATATGGGCCTCGTGTAGCTTTATCTGAATCAGTTCTCCCAAAGTCTTAAACTCTATAATTAAGCTCTTTTTAGTGACTGGAAAACTGCCACTAAATTTGAAATCTGTCATGGTAATTTCAAGGCTAAAGGAATTAAATTTAACAAGAGATATTATTCCTAATTATTACCCTATCTCCAGCCCTTCGTTCTTGCCTAAACTCTCTTAAAGTTTCGTTCGTTCCATAGCCACCTGATCACCAGAATTTTAATTAATGCTAATCAAGATGTCTGAGCCATGACTGCCCATAGATTATTCTCTTTGACTTAATGGTAGGTGTTCATCTCAAAGCCCCATCTTATTTGCTGCTTGGGGTGACATAGCTTTCATCATTTCCTGTTCTGATACAGCTTTACCTGAAATTGTTTGAATTGAATGAGCTGAATTTAATTTGTAAATTTCAGACTAAATTACCACTTCTGTGCATTATGGCTGTCTTGCAGCAGGTAAATCCTTTCTGGAACTGTGCTGTTGTCACTGATACCGTATTTAGATGCAGGGTCTGATTTTCCTATCCCAAAGTGGTATAGATGAACTGCTTATACTGGCAATGTTTTTGTTAGTAATTTAGATTATTGATTTCAGCAAATGTCTTTATGGATTCCCTATAATTGCTGGCATAATGTTTTCCAGTGGTATTTAATAAACCCTTCTAGAATTCTTAATTGGATGAGTATTACTAAAATAAGGTAACTTTACATATGTGAAGGAGAGGAGGATCAGTCCTCCCAGGGGTAGATGCCTATTGAAGACCAGTATTTGCACATCCATCCTATGAATGAAGAGGAAAGGAAAGGTTGGCTGGAAGAAGTTGTTCAGCTTGTTGCCATGCATGAAATTGTTGTTTGTCCTTAGTTTTCCTGTGGCCAATTTTTGACTTCAGAGCCATTGATTTCTCTTGATTATTTTTTTTCCTGTTCAGTAAATGATGTCTCTTACAGAACATGGCAATAGCCGTACTGGATGAAAAAGCTGACTGCCTCTGGAAACAGCTGAGAAAAGACTGGAAGCCCAAGGCAAAGACAGCAGCAAATTCTGGTGTTTTCCCAACACTTTCTCCCAGCTCTCAGTAATCAGAAGACCTGGAACTTTCTGAGCTTTCCCAGGAGTGGTGTGGTGAGCTTACAGGCTGCTGGAGTTGTTGCAAAAGCCCCGATTCACCAAAGTGGTGATCCCCACCGATTTTTGACGGCAGTACAGGGAGCGATGGCTCTTCATGAAGGAGGAATGATCTGCTATGATTGCACAGGTCAGTGCAGCAGGATGCCACGGGGCCCTGTGCCACGTTCACTGAGGATGCAGTGAGCACTTCAGTACTGTGACTGCTCTTTGTGAAACTCGGGCAAACGCATGACCCATTGCCAACACAGCAGGTGATTTGAGACTAAACAAGGAAGCAGTGATGCTACCAGATTTCCATTAACAAGCAAGAAACATGCGAGTCCAAAGTTTCATCTGCATCTCCACTTGTGACCATCGCATATAAACACAATGGCATTCAGTGAAGCGCTAGAAGTAAAGCAGTTGTGTTTGTTCTCAGACAGGCTTAAATACTTTCATCTGGATACTTCTTTTTAAATAGCGTGTCCTTCTGTGAAGACGTGGAGCTTTTTTTTTATGTGGAGACTTAATTGAAGCAGTGTTATTTATAGCAGTGAATATTCATTCTTGTTAAAGGTGGTTCTGAGGGAGGCTAATAAATGTTCTTGTTTTCCTTTGCATCAGCTAACGATCTGGAAAACAAATATACTGCCATTCCTGGGGAAACATATCATGCAGTGCTGGATCACAGTGGTTAAATGTTGTATTTTACCGTCAATTTATTTACCCTTCACTTCCCTCCAGTGCTTAAAGCTCCTACTGCCATGCATCAAGCAGAGCTGGTGGGCAGTGCACATCCCAGAGCTGGCCACATAAGTCTGAGAAGTGAGACAATAGATGGAGCCAGAGAGACAAAGAAATAACAGGAGTAATTAGACCAGATCCATCAGTGTAACTGGGCCTGGTCTGGGTGCGTTAACGTTGTGGCACTGGTGTGAGGAGTGTCCTGTGATGTGTATGTGATACAGTGCTGAAATATCGTTCCTGGTGACTTATTCAAAGAATTCAATTTGCAGAGGGAACCATTTCCAACTCTTGCAGGTTATGTTGAGCTCAGAGAGAAACAGCTTTAGCAGGTCATGAACAGACCCACGGTGAGATGAAAACGCTCTGAACTGCAGAAGCAGCCTCACTCACACCTTCACCAGTTCTCATTTTGTAAAAGTTAATCCCTCTGTGAGCTTTTGCAATGGCATCTCGCTATCCATTGACAATAAAGGAAGAGAAGGCATAAATTAGAAGCATGAATCATATCTCAATTTAGCCTGTCTCTTCTGCTAATAAAAAGCATAGGCTTCCCAGATACTCCTCTGCGATCAGGCTAGGGAGGAGGGTGGCAGGAGGAACAGGAGAAAGATGATGGCTTTCACAGTGGACTGGTTTCTATTTTCCTTTAAATAACTGAATTATCAATTAGAGAATTTTATTTTGTCTTTGTTTTGTGCCAAGAATATACTTAAGCTGGTTCTCTATTTCTAAGTGGGAGGAAAACTTGCTGGTGAAGTATCCATGTTGTCTCAGTGAATCCTGTGGCTCTGATGCAGATTTTGATAGAGATAATTTTATGTAATAAACAGTATTTTACAGATGAGGAAATAGGGATAGCGTTTGCGGAATGGGCTGTACATAACCATTGCATCAGCAGGGGAATAGCCTATAGGCCATGCTAGTTCCTCCTAGCCCTGAACTTTACATCTCATGAGATTGACAAGTGTGTTAATGTTTGTGAGGGTTTCAGACACCATAATGATGCAACAAGTAATCAGAACAGAAGACGCCGTTAGACATCCAGTAAGAATCTAGGAATTGAAACAACAGCAGCTCCATGTTTCTTTTCTTACAGCAGAGAGAATGTGGGTTAGGATTAGGTGGCAGTGCTCAGTTGACAATAGGAAGCCAATGCTTGTGAGAAGGCACAGATGTCTTTTAAGTAAATCACATTTTAAAAAAAAGTGATGATATCTTCAGTAGAAATGAAATAACCCAGCTAGGATGTGGGCACAGAACACAAAAGTTTATTTTTTCAAGAGAAATGATTTATTTTACTGCAGTGGTTCTGACAAGCTTTCTGTAGCGTTGCAATATGTTTATGGCAACATGTTTTTCAGTGTAATATCCTTAATACTTTAGTTTACTTAGCCAAGCACTACTTTTTTTTTTTACCTTATAGAAAGCCGCAGAATTGAAACAGGCCGAGCTTATTTCACAGGGGAAAAAACAACCACTGTAAAAACCCTCCCACAGACTAGTGAAAACAAATGTGTGCTAACACAACAAATATTGATGACTTCCAAAATTCCACATGGTAGTGGAACAACCGTTGGTACTCAGACAAAATAACAGGGTTACTTGTTTTGCAACTTAGCAAAAAACTCAATGAAGATCTTCTGTAAGAAGACTTCGCACTGTGTCAGCTAACTGTTGTGCTGCTATGTTATCGTTTCTTTTCATGGGAGAAAGAAAAGCAAGGCAGTACAGAGTGTGCTTGTTGGACTGCTCTGTTGGGGATGATGAGGCACTGGCACACGTTGCCCAGAGAGGTGCTGGATGCTCCAGCCCTGCAGGTGCTCCAGGTCAGGCTGGATGGGGCTCTGAGCACCAGATCAGCTGTAGGTGTCCCTGTTCAGTGCAGGGGAGTTGGACCAGATTACCTTCAAAGGTCCCTTTCAGCTTGAATGGTTCTATGGTTCTTGTAAGGTGCTGCTAACATATTAGCAGAAGAAACTCTCATCTGAGTTTGTACTAAAAGTAAGCCTCTGGAAAAATGTATCTCGGTACAACTCATTGCATTACAGAATCCAGCGACCCCAAATTCTGCCTGGGATGTGGTCACTGGTGTGCAGTGAGCTGGCTGGGGGTACAGCAGGAAGAAAAGTAATGCAAGTAGAATTGTTTTCCCCTGTCTTTCCAGCAAATTTAGCTGAAGAGCCAGCAGTGTCCTGCCTGACAAGACTGTGACAAAGCAGCAATATTTGCCAGGAATAAGAAATGAAACTTGAGTAAGAGTTCTGAGTTATAAGTAGCAGTGTTTTGTGAAAGTGTCTGCATGCTTCCCCAAAGGCCAAAGCAGTTCTGCTGTTCTGAGGCGGGCAAAAATTAGCAAACCAAGAAAAGTGGCATTTTGTCCTCTAATGCTACTTCTGCACAGGAAATATAGGAAGTAACAAAGAAAGGACAGCTTCTGGCTAGCAAAAGGGCACCCTGCTCTGGTATTCTCCAGCTGTGTAAACATCAGCCACAGCCTCAGCTGCTGCTGTGAGGAAAGGACATGGAGCTGCAGGAGCTGGGGGATCCTCCAGCATCTTTCCTTGTCCTGTGTTTTCTGGAATCACTCTCTTTGACTCCATCTGTCCTTGGATTCTGCCTCCTGCGTGTCCCAGTGACTTCCAGAGCCTCAGCAGAGTAGTAGCACTGAGGAATAAGCCTTTCTTACTACACCACAGGCAGAAGAGGATAATATCTGCAGGGTAGTAACAAGCAGAACCACTCAGATTGTGTCCACAAACCCATGTGATGAATGTAGCTCAGGCCAGCAGCAAAAGATAATGAAGGCTGTTATATAAAACACAGCCCTTATTTTGGAAGCTAATATTCATCTTAAGTTCTTTCTGTGAAAACAGTAAATGCTCTGTCCTTTCCTGTGCCATTTCAGGCCTGCTGCACAGAGCATATCATGCATTGGTATTTAAGATTTTGGTCCATTTTATACCCAAGCGGCCGAGTCCTCACTTCTAATTTGCTAAAGCCTGCCCACTGCTGGGGGTGAGATGCCAGCGAAAGCTTTCTGGGCATTTGTGTAACAGAATGCTGGCACTGATTGTGCAAGGAGATTTTTAGGAAAGAGCTAGAGAAGTGTGTCAGAGTAGTTTTGGTAGTACTGCCATGGGGTAGCTGCTCTCTGAGGAGGCTTGTGCTTTCCTTTGTTCTCCTTTCAGTTCTTGTATTGGAGGCTCAGTGTATTCTTTCCTTTTGTTCCACTTATTAGAAGCAAGCACTTGACCTTCATTGTTTTTGGGACCTTGCATTGCTGCACAAGCAGCCCTGCAGCCCTGGGGTTTGTCCTGCTGTGCAAAATCATGGCTTAGGTTGGAGGGGGTCTTAAAGAACACCCAGATCCTACCCCCTGCTATGGGCTGGTTGTCTCTCACTAGATGAGGCTGCCCTGGGCCTCATCCAACCTGGCCCTGGAGCACTTCCAGGGATGGGGAGAACTCCTGTGGGCTGCTGACATGTGAAAAGATTTCCTTTTCTACCTATGTTTATGGGAAAGAAGGGCACAAAACCCAAATGTTCATATCAAAATAAGAAAGGAGAAGTTTGTTATAAAATTAAGAGGGAAAAAATGGCAATAATAATTTGGCCACTGATGCTGGGGACCGTGAGCAAATACTGAGAGATGGATGTTCTATCTGTGCATGCCCTGGGGGTTGTTCATCTGCTAAGAATTATTTTCTCCTGCATGATGGAAATGATTTGAAATGCCTTCAGGAATGCAGCCAGCTCCCACCTCATACTGTTCCTCCATAGGAGAGATGTGAAAGGAGGGAAAGCTGCTTCTGAGACCCCAGACACAGTGTTAGTGCTGGCTCCATGGAATGTACTCTGGTTTCTACCATCAAAACCTCTTGCTTGCTGCATCTGTTGGCAAGATGTTCATATTGCTGTTAGTAACCTTGAAGGAAAATCTGAATGTTTTCACTCAGTACCAGACTGATCAAGTGTCCAACACTAAGCAGGTGGGAAGAGAAAGGAGAGAAGACCTAAAAGATTGATATGGATGTCCTCTAATCCAGAATTTCTTTGTGGCTGGACTGGCACAGAAACTTGAAATCAGACAGAGATCTTAACCATCTTTCCATTGAGGTGGGGTTGACCTCATCTCCCAGGTAACAGCAATAGAATAGGAGGGAATGGCCTCAGGTTGTGCCAGGGGAGGTTCAGGTTGGGTATTAGGAAAAACTTATTCTCCAAAAGAGTGGTGATGCATTGGCACAAGTGCCCAGGGAGGTGGTCATTGGAGGTGTTCTATAACTATGGGCATGTTGTACAGAGGAACGTGGTTATTGGGCACTACTGGTGGTAGGTAGAAGGTTGGACTAGATGATCTTAGTGATCTTTTTCAATCTTAATCATTCTGTGATCTCAGACATTGCTGAGGTGGCAGCTCTACTTGTGTTTTAAAGGGAAGGCGGACAGTGGTGCAGAAACTAAGGGTCCAGTGAGTCTCCTTAGCAGGCTTCACAGAACAAAGGCATTTAAAGCAAACTGAGGGTTGCTCTGTTTTGTACCAAGGGCAGATTTGGCCTTTAGCCTGTGATGGGATCCGGAAGAGAGGGAAAACATCTCTGACTGGTCTGTGCCTTCCTACAGTATCCACGCTGAACACGTTCTTTACTCTGTTAAATCCAATTTCCTCAGTACTATTTCTGGTATAAAAGTAAAGGGTCATTGAAGTTACCCTGATTACAAAACCAGAGTAAAAGAGAGGAAAATTAAGCCTCCTCGTCTCTTAGCCAGTGTGTAATTTTTAGCTGGAGTGAACATATTGCCACAAACTTGTCAGCAAACAAAATGAATGGTGATCAGAACTACCTGGGGAGAGTGTGCTTACTGGGGTGTGAAATGCCTCGGCTGTCACTCCAGCAATCCTTGCAGCTCCAAGGACAAATGAACAGCATCTGTGCTCAGGCTTTTGCGTCTCAGGACTCCAGTTGTGGGTTGGACCTTCAGCACTCTTCCCTTTCCATCTCACTGATAGCACGTGTAGAGATCTGTACCTTCCCGAAGGTGCCAGGATGGGTGTTTTTCCCCCTTCACCCTGCACAGCCTCAGGCCAAGTAAATCTCAAGCCAAGAGTAACGTAATTTCAATTGCTGTAAACCAAGGTTAGATGCTTCATGCTGTAATCAGAACTGGCAGCTTCCAGTGAGTTTTTTATTACTTAAAAGCAGAATTGATTGTATGGTAGCAAAGCTGAAATCACGAAAGAGCAATTTGTCTTGTAATGACCCATCTGGGGTACGTAGCTGACCTGCTCCCTAAGCTCTAATTTTAAAATGGTAGGACAGGCATTTAAGCCTATGACTAAAGCTTGAAGGAATTTCTAGGATCCTCCTGACCCCCCCTCCAGCACAGATTAAAGAGCCCCATCAAATGAGCTTCTGGATGTGCAATTCTGGCACTCAGAACTTTGCCTGTTCTGTTAGCAGATGTTTTGCGTTGTTTGCAGTCTGCATTCATCTGTCTCTACTACCTTCTCTCATCTATAATCAAGTTCTTGAGCTACAAATGAGCTGCTCAACAATGCACAACCTTATGTTTGTAACATAACCCGCTAAAGCTGGCACATTTTGTAGAAAGGTTCTATTTCTAGAAGAGTGGATAGAGTTAATAGATGTTGCCTAGGCACAAACACCTTTTGTTAAAGCTGGTAGCAATCACTGAAGATGTTATGAGTAGCAATAAGCCATAGTTATGAGCAGCATATTGACCTGTCAGACTGTATATCAATCTATAACATTTGATCATCCATTTCTTGAATTAACTATTAATCGTTCATTAGTTCTTTATGAAGTATTTATATATTCATCTTTCATCTGAAGTATGACTGTAATGCTAAAGTCTAGTACTTCACCATTGTGTTCAAATGACCACACAATCAGTAAGAAACAGGTTTTGGGAGCGTTCCCACCTCTTTGGCTGATATTGCACATCAGTATCTGGTCCCAGATTTAGCCAGATGTGGGGGATTCATTTTCCTTGTCTATATACTGCACATCTTGCTGAAGCTGTATTCCCTCTTCTGTTAGAGGAGAGACCATGGCACTATTAGAGCAAAATAGATTGAATCCATCCATTTCAGACCTCACAGAGTGGCTGAGGGTATTTAGATGTCCACATGTGGCATGAGTAGCTTAGATGCTAGCATAGGACACTCATCTTTATCATATCAGGAGGTCAAAGGAGGGTTAAAATTTCAGCAGGACATTCAGTTCATGGCACACAGTCTTTTATCTTTGGCTGCAGCAACTTTTACACTCTTTCTGGCTCTTAACTAATAATAGCAAAGCTAACTGATACTCATGAAAGCATTTTGTACAGCTTCCAAGCTGGGCACTGCACTCTTTTTGGTGTATTTACACTCCAGTTATCCTCCTTCATTATCTCCATGTCCTACATCATCAGGCAGCAATGTGTCAAAAGATCACGCATCACAAAACTAAGCCTCACCACAAAGAGTGCTGAGCTGGGAATGTGCAAGAAGAATATTTTGGCAAACTCTATGGGGAAAAGAAAAGAACAGCAGATGTTTCAAATAGGCAAAAGCTTCCAGTTTGGCTTTGAGTCTGTACTCCGGACCAATCTCTAGATAACATCCTCCATCACTGTGCCAAAGGGAACAGTGAAATCATTCTGGTACATCTTTTGATCCCGGTGCTGTTCTGGTATCTGCAAACTCTGGTACTTCGAACATCATCCAAAGATGCCCAAAGATTTCATTATTCTCTGTCCCTGACACTCCATGGCAATCATCCAACACCTCCATTTGAGCCACTGGAGGCAAAGATCCAAAATATTCTCAAGGGGAATGGAGTGGTGAGAAGGTGAGAAATGATCTGCTGTGATATAGGGAGGACGATTCCCTATGAGTGTCTGAGCAAACGCGCATAGGTAGCAAGTTGGATGGTGGTTATAGCGGATCAATAGGCTTGTAGTTGCTGTGGCATGGCCGCCTTCATTCTTTATTTAAAACAAAGGTTTTCAGCCTGGATTACAGTTCTCTGCTTGTCTGCTCAGTTGGGATCAAGCTGATGGGGTGTTGTTCATCGAGGGTGTATCAAGCCCAGGCAGAGGCCTCACTGGTTCCTCCTTTATGTCCCAAACTGCCAGCCCATCTCCATCCTGCCCATCTGCAGCCTACCGGCCCGTTCCGTGCTGGCACCTTGAGCCAGGCGCTCAGGCCAAGGTCTGCTCTTGTGCCAAGGCCTCAGCTGCTGCTCTCAGCATGGTCCTGCTGCAAGGCTGCAGCTTGGCACATGGAACAGGGATCCCGTGTCTCCTTTGGGGATGCCTTTGACATGGCTTCTAAGCAGGGGACAGACAACCTCAGGGGTGGGGGAAGAGGGCTGAACTTCTGCCCTTTGCTGGGTGCCGTGGGCAGGCTCGCACAACGCCAGCAGCGCAGCCACAAGGAGGGAGAATGCTCTAACTGCTGCTTTTAATTTGTACGCTTCTTTGTTTCATCCAACAGCTTGCCTGTGTGTCGCCTTTCAAGTGATTTCCCTTGCTGCTTTCGCTAACACGACTTTATCCCTGCCGGAGAGGTGAGCCGGGGATATGTTGAATACAAAAAGAGAGAGGCAGGATAATCAAACACCTGCTCCCACTAAAACAAAGCCTTTCCTCTTCACAGGCTGTTGAGCACTGATGGGGAGAGGTGAAGGCCTGCACCAGCCCTCGCCCGGAGCTGGGCCCAACCATTGGAGCAAGGTTGTAAAAGCAGAAAAATGACCGTGCATTGCACTTAGGCTGCAGTCATTCTGCCTAAACTGGGGAACATTCTGCAAATATTTCAAGTCAAATACTGCTGGTGCTGTCACTGCTGCCTCGCAGTCACTAGGCTACAGCAGCCGTAGGTTTGCCTCGGTGACTCCAGCTGGGCAGCCTCCCGTTCGGACAAGCAAGACTACCATAAGACTGCAAATTGGCCCTGTGAATATGCTCATGGCCACGTACAGGAGTGGGGAGCTCTGCCTGGCTGCCTCCTGGCTGCAGAAGCATTGCAAATCTGCTCGCAATACAACCATCTTCTGATCAAGTACACAGCAGATGTGCCTCAATCTACAAGGGCATGGATGGGTGGATGGATGGATGGGCAGTGGCTGTACTGCCAGCCTTCTCCCAGAACATTCTGTTTTTCTCTTGGTTCTCACACAGCTCTGTGGCAGTCACAGCTTCCAAACAGGACCATGGGCATTCCTTGCTCTCCTGAAGGACTTATCTCATGCAGGTATTCAGAACTTCACTGGTAATCACTCTGACTTAACCTTAGTAATTTCAGAGACACCTGTATGTGGTGGCAGTAAAGTGTCCTATGTTTCTCTCTAACACAGAATTTTCCATGTGGGAGGGTCATTTCTCTTGCTATGAACAGGAGCATCTGGCCCTCTGGCCATTGCCTTCATCAGGCCCACAGCTCAGAAGAAGAATTTTCTCCATATCGGTTACTAGGACCAGCTGCTCCAGAAATAAGATTATAGATCATATGGAGCACAGTGGCATCAGCTCTCTCCCATCTCAGAAACCTAGAAATCCCATCTGATCTTGACTGCTCTGAATCAATAGGGGCAAAGAAGTGTATATTTCAGACAGGAAAGTTCCAAAGCAAATCTATGCAAGTCTCTAAGGGCTACTATTACTTGAATGGTAACCAAAAGGAAATAGGCAAAGGAAAAGGAAATGCAACAGGGCTCAGAGAGGGTTTGCATGTATTTGTTTCATAGACTCACCTGCATGGCAAGTGCTTTGCACCATCTATTGCACTGCTCTCCTATACACCCATTTTTCATTATAGAGTTGCCATTTCTGAACATGTAAAACTAGGATGTGCTGGCATGGTTTAAATGGTGCTACGAGCACTGCAGAGAGGCACAGCGATAGCTGTGTGGGAAATGAGAGAAGAGAGGAATTCTCCTGAGCAAAGAGCAATATCAAGCAAATGCTGAACTGACAACCTCTGCTGCTGAGACCGAAATGCTCTGGCAAAAAGCCACCAGCACGTATATCCATACAGCAGTGAACAGCCCCTCAGCGGAGAGCGCATCGGGAATGCATTCAGCACATAAAGCATCAGCTGTGTGAAAAACTGCAGACAAGATAATCCTGCTGTTTCATCTATTGTGCAAAGTTAGGTTTGGATTTGAAGGGCAACTTTCCAGGGCTTTTCAACTTGTGAGTTCAAAGGCAAATGGGCGTACACTGGTGCTGGTCTCACACCTCTCTCAGGTCAAGGATTCAAGACAACTGAGAGGGAAGTCTCCAGGGCTGGGTTTCTGAATATGCTGTTTTCTCTCCACTGCAGTGTGGTGCAATATTCAAGGGCTACCAAGACACCAACATTTCAGCATGGCTATGCTCCGTGCCTGGTATGCCCTGTGAGCTCCCATTTGGTCTTGGCATTAATTGTATGGCCCTCGTGGTGGTTTGGGGAAAATCTCTTTATCAGTGCCCTGATGGAATAAAGATCGTGTGTAGCCTGAAGAAAAGAAAGTAAGGAAAAAAATGGGTTAGAGGTGACACTGGAGACTTGTTTGCCAGGATTTAATACATATTGGATAATTGGCAGCTGGCTTTCCATTGCCAGATTTTCCATCTCAAATCTTTTTATTTCCTTAGGCAACATTTACTTCTGCTTTTTAAACAAAGCACTCTCAGAGACAGAAAATCACAGTGCAGACTGACTGACTGCATTCAGACAGCTCTCCAAACCTCCTAAATGCATTAAACCACCCTTCTAAGTAGCTCTTTGTGATTTCAGTGGAAATAAGGATGCTGCTCTACCAGGAAGCTTTAGTGAAAACATGATCATTCACAAGAGCTGCTCAGTATTTCTGGGCTGAAATTATCCACAACAGTATTTTTGTAATTCCATTTTTAATCTCTCATAGTGGGAGGAGGAGATGTTGTTCCAGCTCACCATCTAACATGGTAATATATATTTCCAGTGTTGAGAAGCAGTTAATGAAACACAAGAAGCTGAGGCCAACTCTAAATCTCAGCATCACAGAAGGATGCTACTGATGTGGGACTGGGACATGGTCAAACCATTACTGTCTGCATAGACCCACAGCCTGTTTTTAACACTGCCAGACTCCTCAGCAGTAGCACATGTTGGATTTATCAGCCCTTATGAGATATGGCACTGCAGAAATTGGTCTGAGACTGCCGGACTATTTACTACTGCTCTACCAGAATAATTCTTATGCTTATTCCCTGTTCTGAATACATCCAAAACTGAACCTCCCAGGTGAAGTTGCACTGATTTAAATCCAGCCATAAATCTGTTGCCCCTTACTGAGCCACTCATTTCTTTTTTACTATTTTTGAAGGGCAGGGAACAAGAATCTATCGGTGCAGAGAAAATGAAAGCAGTTTTCCAAACTCCTCAGCAAGAGAGAAAAATATTTTCACATGTTTGTCCTTTGTCCATATGCACCAAGCAAATCTCCAGACATTTCACACTGTGCCATCCCCTCATCTGGCTCTGTTTTCTGTTTGGTTTTCTCTCTCAAAGGTTTCTTGTTTCTCCCCTGTCTTCTCTTAAATTTTCTCCCCAGTCTCTTGCATAAGGATGAGAAGGAGCCTGGTTTACTTATTCCCTCCTAAGCGGCGAAAGCAAACAAAACAAAGCCAAGTCCCCATGCATCCCAGTGATCAGAATGTTCCATCAGTGCACCTGGCTCCGATGTCTGCCTCACACTCTATCCTTGGGCTGCTGCATTCAGAGCTGATTTTTTTCTCCTTTGGGACATAGGGAGGAGAAATAATTCCCCAGCATGATGATGGCCAGATTTTGGAAAGCCTTCCTGAGTCATTTTAAACTTGTTTTAGGCTCCCACAGTTTTCACATTAAGGTTTTTTTTTTTTGGTAATTCCCTTCCGTGAATAGGAGTCGGTGTCATCCAGTGCTCCACTTCTTCACAGCTTCCATTCTCTCAGCCTTTGGACAGTGAAAATAATAGGCTTTTGGTAACCAGCATGTAGAAATCTCTACATTCATTTTGCTGGTTTATGGCAATAGAAAAGAGGTTTTCATACTGTAAGTGTGCTAAAATATTCTGATTAGCCTGAACAGCGGTAGGAGGAGATAAGATAAGCTCTCAATGTATTTCAGAAGTAAACAGCAACGTGTTAAATTGGTTCAACAACTTTTGTATGAGTTTAAATGAGGCGTCTTTTTTTTTTTTTTTTTTTTTTTTTTTTAAATAACATACCAAGAAAAAAGTAGCCCTTTGGTTTTTTAATGACACATTCACTTATATCACTTAATGTTCCATCCTACTTCATCTACAGGCATTGCTGTGCAAAATGTTGGCATGATTGCAATCTAAATTAAATAACTACTTCGTTAGCCATTCTGCTGATAAGCTGATTTTAAGAATGCAGATTTTAATGATGAAATTCTCAGCTGGGCACCACAACAGCAAAGTTTTTTCTGTAGCTCCAAGCGTGGTGGCTCATGACTACATATTAGTGACAATAATGTTCAGATCACCCAGATCGGAATAGTTTTTCTCAAGGTAGATCATCTGGGGATGCTTGGATCTTCAATCCCTGAACCATTTGCTCGAGGGCTTTGGACACTGAAGACAGCAGATGGAATGACGTCGCCTATTTTGTCCACTTCTTCCAGTTATCAGCCTTTCTTTAGATTAGGCAAGCATTTCTGCAAAGCTACTGAGAAGGTTGGCTCAGTGGGCCATAGAGGTGGGCTGGGACTTGGGTTTCACTGTGGGTACTGCAGAACCAGAGCAGGTTGAACCCCACATCCAGGCACGCACTGCCCACATCCTCTGGTTTCTGTGGTGTGCAATGAACAAAACAAACCTCCACAACACAGACACACCGGGTTAGAGATGCCCCTGCGTGAGGGAGTGTGAGGGAACTGTGTGTGGGTTCTGAGAATTGCCAAGATCTCTCCTGAGGAGATACGTGGTCTGAATATTTTCCTCAACCATCGTTTTACAGAGCAAGCCAGAATTTTTAAGGAATATTGAAGTTGGGAGAAAGTAATCTTGTTATTTATTTATTTACTTATTTATTCTTGGGGTATAGGCTGATAAGAAAGCAATTGGATGAATAACTGTATTTTCCCCTGTTTTCCCTTAAATGTCTGTTAGAAGATAGGAGTTTTTTTCCATGCCTTTTAGGAGACTATTTCACAGAGATTTTGTCCTGTTTATGAGCTCAGGCTTTCGCTTCTGTCATTTCTATCATGCTTCCCTCAGCATCACATTTTGTTACACACAAAATAATTCTTTTCTCTCTGCCTGAACATAGTAACCGTAGCTCTAGTCATTACCCAGTGAAGCTATATATACTTAGTTCATCATCTTTCCTCATAAATCAATCTTTTCAACCCCGAAATCATTTTAGCTGCTCTTTGAATTGTCTCCAGCTTGTCTGTTTTTGCCTGGTAATGATGTGGCCCAGAACTGAATGCTGCATTCAGGGTAGGCTGCCACCGAAGTAATGGGAACCAGGATGATTTCCACTATCTGCCGTTTGACACAAAACTTATTGCGAATATATTGCAAGAAAAGGTCTGCTCTTACAAATGTAGCAGAGCTGGAAACAAACCAGAGGCTGATTCACCTCAGTTCCCTCCAGCTGTCCTGAGCTGTGCTGATCCCAGCAGGGCAGATGGATGGGGCATCTCCCTACAGCAATGCACACATTTTTCTGCAGGGATTGGGAGGCCAGGGGGTCCCTGCCTGGTGCAGACTCTGCTTGCACCATGACAGTGCATGTGCAAGTATGTTGGTTGCTCCAAAAGTAATGTTTCCTAATTATTTCCGTGGAAACTACAGCAGTTACAAAGAGCACAATAACACTATCTGACAGAGCAAATTCTCAGCTTAAAAAAAACACAATTTTTCAACATAGTCACTTATGAACCTATCCCTGTTTTGTTGTCTGCGTTAACAGGGTGTTGTGTCACTGTTTGCAGAGCATGAGTGTTTGTTACAGTGAAGGCCTGGACTCAGGATTGCAACACTTTCCTGGAAGTCTGGCTTTGCATTCCTCGCCTGGCTTTCTCTTAGTGACATGCACTGGAGTGCAGGGTGCATTGTCCTCCTCCTAGCACTGCCTCCCGGGAGGCTGCAATTCCAGCTTCTGCAACAGCAGCTCTGGTTTAGAGTGCCAGGATACAATGATTTGTGCCCTCTGTATTCCCATATCTAGCTGCTTGGCTGCACTGGGACATCCAGACCAGGGATGAAGTGCTCC